CGTCAGAACGATCAGAATTTCGTTAAAAGTAAGAAATTGCGCACCGGGCGGGGGTCGAACCCGCGATGGTTCGCTCCAGAGTCCGACGCTAGCCATTATACCACAGGGCCGAGTGGAGAAGGAAGTCAGAGGCGCCCCAAACCCCAGAGGGCCTTTGCCCAGTACGGGGCGCCACTAATGACGCCTCTCTCTGCGCGTTTTTGGGGGTCGCACCCTCGGGGTGACAGTGCGCGTTCCAGAGTTCGAGCAGTCTTTAAGAAATTTTTCCCGGACCAGAATTAATCCAATGGTCGTCGATTTAAGCATTAAAAGTATTTATTAGGTTGGAACTAAAGTTCGTGCAATATTTTTCTTTCTTTGTAATTTTCGGACCGGAAAACGGGCAAGAACCTAAATGCTTTTTGGATGAACGGATATGCAATAAAATGCTCTATCCGATGTGTGGGACGGAAGCGCGTTGCTTCCCTATTAGAATTTTTTAAAGCTAGATTTAAGCGGAAATGAAAAATAGATAGAAAATAGATAGAAATAGATAGACAGCCGATAGATATAACCTATTATCATAGTGATGATCAGTTCCTATGGTGACTTTATGGCGGTTCGGAAAGATGTCCGGGTCAAAAATTTGAAGTGCCCTCGAGAGAAACGCAAAAATCTTCAAAACGACTGGGGCTAAAAACCTGTAATTTTGGTCCCACATACTCATGAACCCAATAGATAGATGCAAAGAGGGAATATCGGAATCTGGCCACTAAATTTTCAGAAAAAATTTCCATAGTTCCTATGGAAACATAGTTCCTACTAAAAAGACGAATGCAGCTATTTTTTCAGGGTGGTTGATCGCCGACGACAACCAACCGGTTCGGCTCCTGGTTAGACCCAAAAAACCTTGTTCAGCTTTTGTTTTTATGAATAAAACTGTCAATGTTTCTTTGTGTCCCTGGGCTCAAGTACATTACAGTTTCACAACCTGTGTTTGTCTTTTTCGGATTGGTGCATGCAAAGAGAGCGCGGGTGAAGGGCAGGCTTGGCGCTTGACGCGCTACGCGTTAGTATCATCCAAAAGCCTGCTACAAACATTAAAGAACCTACTAGCACCTTCACGAAGCTGCTTTAGGGCTATTATTATCTTATATTGTAGTTTAGCGCCACTTTCCCAACGGCCTCCTTACAGGGTGTTCCAAAAAAAAGGTCCAAGTTTGTCCCCGAATAACTCGAGAAGGAAACATATTTCACGGTGCGTTACCATGCCAGAATGCTTAAATATGTCAGGAATAGGGAAATAACTCAACTTGATTTTTTCGATTTTTGGCGACGTACCCATACAAATGACACCCGAAAACTGTGCGTTCCGGCAAAACTTCGTTTGCACTTTTTTGGGTTGCTGGTGGTCGAAAACTTCCAATTTTTACAGTGTAGGTACCTCAGGATCGCCCCTACGCACATCCGAAATTTTAGAATTTTTGAAGGTCAGGTTGGCAAGTTATAGCGTGCTCAAATTTAATCTGGCGAAATTTCGTAAATTTCAAATATTACAAAAACCTATGGTAGAAACCTCAAAATAAGGTGTTTTAGCATGTCTATAGGCTCGATACAATCCCACAAAAATATCAAAAAAAATTTTCAGATCCGCCGATTTTTGAGTTTTTCGACGACCACCTGGTCATGGATTTTTTCGAGGTCACGAATCTGAACTTTGGAAAAATATTTCTAAAATTGCAGATAGAATTTCGGTGTTTGCTTTGCTTCGTTGTGTAGAACTGGGGTCCATCTATCATGTACACAATTTCTAGCTACCGTACCCCTTTGGAAGCTGCCTTTTAGCGCCTCCAAAACGGTTGGTTCGTGCTATTTCGCAGACCTTCGTGCCAGTCTATAAAACTCAATTGCGCGTCTAAAATTATTCTCATAATTTTATTTAATCCTACCTAATGGGCGCATTCTAAGGTTATATTTACAAATTTATTGGGCCATCCAATCTCTCAAAAGAAATTCATGAAGAGTCCAAATATACCCGAATTCGGGACGAGGTAAAAAAATTCTCCAGGCTTGAGTAGTCCCGACTTTTCTGGCATAAACGAAGCTTCGGTAGTCAACTAAAACGCAGGCAAATAAAAAATCTTTTCATGGCAAGCGAATTTAGAAGAGCGCCCCAAAGTCGGCTTTTCAAAAAAGTTATTTTCGGGTTTTAAATCAAAATGAACCATTAACTTCAGCCAGATCATTTCAAAATTTTGCTCTCATGCACAGTTCAATGCGTGCTTTAATTGTATCCACGAAACTCCGGTGTGTTTTTCATTTTCAAAAATTCGATTTTCAGCCCGGGGCCTCGGGTCCAAAATCGGGCCACGAGGGGGGGTTTTCCTCTTTCCCTTATAACTTTGTCATTTGCCACAGGAATCAAGTAATTTTTTGTAGGTGCTCTTACAATCACCCAAAGAACAGGCTAGAATCGAAAAACCGTCACTTTATGGAATTTTGTCTTGGCATGCTAAAACGCGCTCCGGGCGGGTTACTGTAGAAAACAGAAAATCGCCGTTTTCTCGTTCTGTTCACCATAGAAACGTTTCGATCTTTCAGGAAAACAAATAATAGTAGTTTTCGGACCGATTCATTAAAATATTTAGAAATGGCTTGAGTGCAGTTTACCCCCCCCCCAGCCCTAACTTTTCAGCCATACGTCCTATTAATGCGCCGAGTATCTTAAAATGTTCGCCGTGGTCGAATTACTATAAAAAAGTTGTTTTCTTGCGGCAAAAATTGCTAAAAATTTTTTTACAAGATTTTGAAAGTTGAAAAGATTAAGCCGCTATGCTTCGATGTACTAGGAGTCTAAAACTCAAATATTTTTATTTTCCGCTATTTTTTTCGGCTCAAACGTACTGTAGGCTTATTCTCCAGAGCAAGAGCTACATTTTGGTACTATTGACAGCTCTGTACGTCAAAAGATAGCCGAGATACGAAAACCCACTTTGGAACAGCAAAATTTAACTAAAGAAAACCCAGACTTATAATTGTTATAAAAAATTTTCTAACAATTTTTGATGTAAGAAAACAACGTTTTTATAGTAATTCGACCACGGTGAACATTTTGAGATACTCGGCGCATTAATAGGACGTATGGCTGAAAAGTTAGGGCTGGGGGGGGGGTAAACTGCACTCTAACCTTAGAAATTGCCGTGGCTAAATTAAAAAATCAGCTTTTTGTATATTTTTCGAAAGTGTGTGGCTAGAAATTTGCTATATTTTGCCCATGGCTGCCCCTTACCATTGTTTACCGATGGTAAAATTTTGAGCGAAATCGCGGCTTACAATAAAAAGAAAAACGCGGAAAACGAAAACTACAGTATCCCTCTGGGGCACCTTTTAGCAAGCAATATCAAAATACCATAGAATCAGGTAAAATTTGGTGTTGTGCGAAGGATTATCATTCGGAGACATCATCTGCAAAAGTTCAGCCATGGGCAGCGTATTTGAAGCGAGTTGCGAATTAAAATGTAAAAAGATACAAAATAGTGAAATTTGTTTTGCTTGAACTGGAGCTTAAAAAATTCGAATATTTGGCCATTATTTTTATACAAATGCCAACGATTTTTGGGCCAAAAATCAGAATTTTCCCACCACCCGTTCAAGAACGCACAATTTTCGGTCGTAACCAGCGTCAATAGTACAGTTGCGTACTCAAAAATCGAAAAAATCAAGTTGAGTTATTTCCCTATTCCTGACATATTTAAGCATTCTGGCATGGTAACGCACCGTGAAATATGTTTCCTGCTCGAGTTATTCGGGGACAAACTTGGACCTTTTTTTTGGAACACCCTGTATAGATGATGCGGATTAAAAACAGCGGGAGGACCGAGGCGGGTGAGTGGGCTCTGCATTTTCATACCCCGCAAGGTCATATTCCATAGCACACTAACCTGTCTATTCCGTTGCATATTTTTCGGATTTTATCGTCGATGTTTTTTTTTAAATTCTTGCTTTTCGACGTTATTTTTGAATGGCTTAGTTATATTTGTAAACTGCTATCAACATTATTTAATTTTTATTACAGGTCTCCTGCACTTCAATTTGAGTGATTTTTCCATATTATGGCGGTTTTATCAAAAAATCGACCAACAATTTGGCTGCAACGTCTGCACCCAAATCAGAATCAAAGTGTTTGAATTTTTTAAGGTAAGCTTCGCTCTCGTTTTCGCAATCCTGCCGGTTTCGATAACCAAATATATTTCAACCGGAAAGGCGGAAAACGGATCATGACGACTATTCGCTATCGTACTTACCTGCAACGTGCAGTTGGGCGACTCTATATAGCCGAAGACAGATCCTTCTTTTGGACACTGGGTATCACGACGCCTAATACGACAACCATCAGAATAATGATGGACGATAATATCGAGACGTTGTCCCGTCGAGTCCTGCAATTAATAAATGCGGACGTGTTTCCGATTCTTCACTTTTAGTAGGTCCTATTTAAATTACTAAATTGTTTTTTAGAAAAGAAATCACTCGTTTCCTCCGATGATTAATTAATTTTATTTGTAAATACATCATCTCTTTTTTTGAAAAAACAGTTAGTTGATTTACGCTTAAAAAATAACTCGGGTTGCTCATGGAAATTTTACGCCCCCTTTAGCCGAGCTGGGGGCTCATAGCGGCCTTCTCATAACAGTTGGATCCGCGCCCTCGCCGCGCAGTCTGCTCAGAACAGTAGGATTAGCGGCGCACGCGTCCCATCGCCAGTGAGAGAGAGAGACAGAGAGAGAGAGAGAGAGAGTACCCCGGGGGACAGGATTTGAATCCGTGGCCATCCCATATCTCATGCCCTTCAACGCGCAGTGGGATATCGCCCGAGGAATATAAGGAAACTCTCGGATTTTTCAGATCATTCCACCCCCTCAATCTCGTCTTTTTCATCACCCTCACACTATTTTGCGCCTACGTTGATGGATTGTTCACCGGACATTGACTTTACGCCCATTATATCCGAATGGGAGCTGATGCAGGAACTATGGCAGCAGCCGTCGACTTGGCTACGCAAACAAGACGCCGATCTACTGGATCCACCGATTCTTCCAAGCAATCAAATACGACTCTGGCTGCATAACCGGAAGTTATTCACGATTATACCCCGTGAACTCAACTCTCCGGAATATGAATTGGAAGGCATGACGCCGTTAATAAACAGCCAGGCGTACCAAGTATTCCACGGGCGTCGCGTGATCTATGCGACGAAGCACTCGTTGAGCAACTGGTCGCGCGACTTCTTGGCTGATTTTTTACGTCGTGAAGTGTGCGACCTGGCTATTCCAAGGTATGATTTTTTTCTTTTATTAATATAACATTTCTTTTGACCAGTGACAAGACTTATAAACTAAATTTTAGTAACAGCCCAGACTCGCCTGACTTGGACTCTTCTGCCGTGAAGTAAGTTTTTTTGGTCTTTTGATTAGAAAGAATAGAACTTCTATGATATAAAAAAATATATACTTAATGATTATGTTTTTAGTGATGCCATGCAAGAATCAACCGGAGCTGATGGAGTTGCTGCTTTGGAATCTGCTGCCGAGAAGTTATGGTTATCAACATTTGGTCGAGGATGCGTTCGAGGATTGCGAGTTTGAGCAGCTCCGTAGGTAATTGAACGATCGTTCTGACGGCTCCATAGTTTTTCATAAGTTTATCGATCCCACTTTGATGATCTCTCCTCAGCATTTGTATGTCCCGATCAATAACCTAGAATCCTCGCTAAATTTTTATTTGAAAATTTTTTACAATATTAATTGGGGTGGGGACAAGCATTGTCATTTCTATTTGTATGGGTTTCTAAACTCTCATCCTTTCCCGCTCGCTATACCGGTTCCCATTCAGTATGTGCTAATAACTTTGCCGGAGGATATGTACCGCGATATGGCCAGGGATGTGCCTTATACCTCCCTGTGGGTCACCCTCTTTTGCCTGTAGGCCCTCTCTTTTGATGCCTCCCTTTTGCCCTCTCTTTTGATGCCTCCCTTACTACTTCCTAATTTTTCCGCTTTGCGCCTTGCTTTGTATCTGTGCGAATAAATTTTCTTTCTAACATGGACGTAGACATGGCATATGTAGACATGGTGACATAAATTACAGCTAGGTATGGCAACTGACATTTATTTTAAACTTAGTTGATGACATAAAATACAATATACTTGTAGTAAGGTAGGATAGTTATAAATTTACTCTTATCCGAGACCCTAGAATTTATCCAATTTCGAGACTTCGTGCTTCGCGCAGACATCCGTAGACACCGCTCAGCCACCGCTTTCACACCAAATAGTTATCAAGTAAATAATATCAATATTTGAATGTAAATAAACTGTTTATCCAAATATCATGGCCGACAAATTACAATTAGATAGTGGACATCGACTTATATAGACAGATACATTACATTAAACTATATAAAATAACTTTACATTTACTCTATCAGGAAGTTCTTGAAAAATTGAAGTGCAAGAAAGACTTATTTATTATCAATTTAATTTATATAAATCTTTCCTAAACTAGCTTTGAAAGTTTATTGCGTGAGTATTCATTGATTTCCGATCTGTTGGTATAGCTTTAGGATAAGGAATTTCCGAAGGGCTGGGGGGAGGGACCTCTTAATGACGCCCCAGGATATTCCTGACACGCGTTCCCGCCCTCACACCGACTATATAATCTCGGTCATTCTTGATCGCTAGTCAAACAAAACAACATTAGCACCCCTTTCTGGCCCCGTTCACCGAAACTACCGTATATTTAGTCTAATGGAAGCCCAGAATCTGTTGTTTTTAGTGTCCCAGACTGTAGTGGATTTTTGTAAAGAGCGGCTTCTGAAATAACCCGAAGCATATTTTTGATCACCTAAATCTTGAAATTCGAAACTGCTTGACATGTGTGCAAATCGAGGTCATCCTTCCCGGCCGCAGCTGGCCAATACAGGGGGTCCAAAAATAATACACCCATCTCTAGCGGCTCGCAGCCGTGTCCGATTGTGACGATTTAGGTATCTATCGACAGCTCCCAAAATGACGAGAAAACAAACGCTTTTCGTTTTCTAGTTTAACGGATTTAATTGTGTAAATTTGTGGCCAAAACCCGTGAAAAGAGCTAAATTATGCGATATCCATAAGTTAATTGCGATCCTGACCGAGAAAAACCACGCTTTTTTAGCAAAACGTTTGATGGCAAAAAGGTTCTGAATATTTTAAGAAAACGACACCCGCTTCTTTTCTGGCTTTTTCCAGGGCTTTCGAATAGTGTAGGAACCAACCAGGTCCGAACTTTCTCCGGACCGCCAGAGCGAGTACCTTTTTTGGACACCCAGTAAAGGTCATTTTCTCATCATTACTACTTACAGATCAGTCAAAACCTTTAATTTTTTGGCTTTGTTAATAATTCCCAGCTCGGTTGAGTCAAACGTTTGTCTATCCTCTTTCTCGCTATATTTTCCGACCCTGTCGATTTTTTGCCCCCTTCTTTAAGCCAAATTTTTTACAAAAATTTTATAAATTTTAGGTTCTTATGGCTTCACCTTGGGTGATTTCTCCAAGTTCCCACGGTTTCTTCCAGAAAATCGCGGCCTATTCGAGTGCAATTTCTGCATCCGTCTCTCTGAATTGACAATGTATGGAGCATCAAGTTAGTTTCTCATTAAAAATCCAAGTTTTGGCCCATATAAATCAAAAATATTTCATTAAGGAAATTTTTAAAAGCGGATTAAAATACTAACGATCGTTTACTGTATGGAGAATATCGATGAGAAGTACTGGGTACCGGTTAAAACCCTGCTAGAAGTGCAAATCAGTCTCAAGCCCGGCCACCGTCTTCCAGGTAAGTAATAATTTTCTTTATCATGCGATGAAATGCTTCTGATGAATAAGTCACTTTCAGTTGCAAAGACGCAATACATCGCGCATACAGACCGCTCCAGGCTCTCGGCTCGAAATGCTGACGAGGGAAGGTTTTTTGGGCTCGGCCGGGTATTGCCGCATATGACACCTAATTTGATAGAGAACTGAAAGTAAATATGAGTCTTTAATACCAGTTTTTGCCGAAGAGCTTTCCTTAAAAAGATATGACGCTTTTAAAGTAGGTTTTGATGCTACGCTTTTTCTAAACAAGCTGGCAAGATTTGTTTTTGAAAAATCAATCGGGAAATGCGAAATATCCGGATGTGAAAGTCTTAAAAATTGCGCAGAATGGACTTTGAAAGTGTTATATCCTTTTAAGGAAAGCTCTGCGGCCTTAAAGACTCATATTTATTTTCAATTCTCTATCGAATGGTGTATTATATGTAGCGAAACCCGGTCGAGTTCAAAAAACCTTCCCACGTCAGCGTAGAGATTCTCAGAGGCGCTACCGCGAACTGGGCAATGTGGTGCGGCTCCTCAGGCACCGGCTACTCCCTCCCAGAATACCAGCTAAAGATAGGTATAAAGAATACAATATAAAGATAGCCATCAAACGGTGCGTTTTGGTACCGTTTTTTACTCTTTTATTTTTTTTAGACGCCAATTTTTTCGAATGATTCGAATTCGGGGCTAGTTCTACAAGTTTCCCGGGGGTGCATTCCAGCAAATGCTGGTAGATGACATGCCCCGGGATGGGATTGAGTTCATCAGCCAAGGTGTGCATTAGTCTTTTATCCTTAGCTTCTTTTTTCATAGGAGGCCAAGGGGCTGTTTATAAATGGGCCCGCCCGTCCGGTGGACCCAATGCCTTCAAGCTCGTCGACCTGAGCGGAAACGTGGCAGGTCGATTTCGGGCGCTACAAAACGAGGTTAGGGACCCGATTCTCTCAATATTACCGTAATATAGCTGGAAATATGCGAGACGCTAAGAGGTGCTCGCTTGGAAAGAAATGTCGTGCTTTTGAGCGGTATCCCTGCCTTTTATATATTATTATTTTATTTTGAGACATGCTATACTTCCATCAGCCCCAGTTTTGCCTGGTTTCTATGGAACTTGTACATGGCCGCGACCTGACTCATTACACGTGTAAGTTAATATTTCTGGTAGCATTACCTCCTCTACAGGGTGTCCCAAAAAAAAAGACCCCCCCAAAAATTTGAGCCAGAGGGCACCTACGGAGCTGAAAATTTGCACAGAGGTAGCGAAGGTAATTTTCTATGAACAAGGAAAGTTTCAGCCCGATCGGCCAGCGGGTTTTAAAGTTATAGCGAAAATACTTTTCATTTTTAATTTAATATGGGGATCTTTGCAATTTGCATCAAAGATATGCGTTATTCTTGCATTTACAAGCCGATTTTGCTTAAATTTCGCTGAAAAGTTCCATTTTCTTGATGGAGCTATTGGAAAACGATTGATCATGTAGCGAGGAAATGATCAGCAAGGACGATGAATACCAGACCTCATGGCGAAAACTATCGTTGAACGCTTGAGCTTGGCTTAAACTTCAGCGTACGCGCCAACATAAGCCCAAATCTAAACTTCAACACTGTTTTCGAGCTCGTCGAACTCTGTTTTCGGGCCGACGAAGCTCAAATTGCCAAAATGTACAATAACACGTGAATTGGATCGATAAAACAGTTGTTTTAGCACTCTTTTTATTCTTCATACGCAATCGTTTTCCAAAAGCTCCATCAAGAAAATGGCACTTTTCAGCGAAATTTATGCAAAATCGGCTTGTAAATGCAAGAATAACGCATATCTTTGATGCAAATTGCAAAGATCCCCATATTAAATTAAAAATGAAAAGTATTTTCGCTATAACTTTAAAACCCGCTGGCCGATCGGGCTGAAACTTTCCTTGTTCATAGAAAATTACCTTCGCTACCTCTGTGCAAATTTTCAGCTCCGTAGGTGCCCTCTGGCTCAAATTTTTGGGGGGGTCTTTTTTTTTTGGGACACCCTGTATTTCTCAGACAACTCCGGGGGGCTCGAGATGGAGGAGCTAGTCCATATCTACCGGCAGGTAGCGGACGCCCTCCATAGCATCCACCGAGTGGGTATTGTGCACCTCGACATTAAGACAGACAACATTTTGCTGGAAAATATGTCAGGTAAAAAAGTCAGAGTTGGATTTCATGCTTGATTAGGTGTCGCGAAAATCTGCGACACGGGCCTTGCGACAAGGCGCCCACCGAGAGGAGTCCGTAACCGCACCTACCCACTAATCCATTAATTCAATTATTTCTAGCAAAAAAAAACACACTTAAAACGCAAGAAAGCGCGACGGATTTAACGATGGGAGACTTTTTGCGTTTCCCGCGGGAAGACTTTCATAAAATGGTGCTAGGCGACATTGAAAGTGATGCATTCATATACCTTGCCGGAGGTAGTTTTTGTTTACCCTCTATTACACGCATTCAATTATTTCTAGCGAAAAAAATACTATGGCGAATCTACTTCTGGGAGACTTTCTGCGCTTCTCGCACAAAGTTTTCGAAAAAAGGTGCGAGGAGAGGGGGACACCGGCGAGTTCACCCACGTCGCCGGAGGTAGTTTTTGTTTTTTATGAATAGTTGATATTGATTTGTCATAGGTGGACAGGGTACAGACTATAAATGGGAGCGGGAAGCTCCACTACCTGCACTGGCCATTAAACTCATGATCCTCTCCCTCGACCCTGAAATACGGG